TAAGACCAAGTTTAATGTGAAGCGTGAGAGAGTTCCATTTGTGCTAACTAGTCACTTCGTCTACGTCATAACTAAAGGTGGCACTAACCCTGACAACTTTCAAAAGTATGTTGGTGACATTTTTATCGCTAAGATAAACATTCTTTTTTTTTCGTAAACCTTTCATGAACCTAGCATTTAATATTTTTTTATAAAAATAAGTTTTGAAGTCTGAATGAAGCAGTCTGTTTTAGGATGTTCCACATAGCTCTAACTGGTAATACAATAAAATAGCTATTGAAACCTATCAATCCCTGGGACAGAAGATATGACCTTTATCTCTATCTATGGCCAAAAGTTTGTGAAGGTGTCATGTAGCCATCAGATAGTCCAGAATTAGTAGGCGTATCACATGTTAGGTTAAGAAATGCTGACCTGTGTAAAATGTAATGCTAATATACAGAGACATCACTAGGAGGATGCGGGGGGCCCCCACTGGGTGACACTAACCAAGAAACAGCTCTTACTTGAAATCAAGATTTAATCTCAATTCTAACCTAAAATCTCCGCACTGACTCAGAGGCCTTGTTTCATTCAACATTGATACTAAACTAACAGTACAATGTTAAACCATTTCCTTAAGCTCTTTCAAGTCTAATTAAAATAAAACATGTTCAGTTGATGTTAAATCTGTTTATAATTTAAATAATCTTAAATTTTACTATATGTAATATATATATGTAATAATTGGTGACAAAATGTCATAAAAACGAAATTTTAAAACAGAATGGACCCTTTTTTTAACCTTGATAAACAATCAATGAATGTAGGTAATTAGTTCACTGTTGTGTTATACAAAAAAAAAAGAACTAACAATAGGTTTTATTGGGAAGATATGATTAAAAAAGTTGACTGTGGGTGACACCATGAGCTTACCACATCAGGTGACACCCACCCTAGTGACATTGCTACTAATGTACAATAAATTTAAGACCTTGCCAGATGGAGATTGACTCATTTTAGTGATCTCAACAGGTTTCAAACCATGTGTGAAAAGGCTTATTTGGCTGTGCGGCAGAAGTACCCACTCCTGGTGTCCCTCTTTATGATGATGTTGTCCGGCGGTATTCCTCAACTGACCAGCCCTAAAGATGTCAACTACCTTAAGGAAACACTGGTCCCTCATATGACTGAGGCAGATGCCAGATCACATTTCCGAGGAAAGTTCAAAGAGGCCCTCCTTGGCTCCTGGAAGAGTAGTGTGAATTTCTTTTTCCATATGAAAGCCAAGTAGCCGGAAGGTTGCACTTATATCCCATATGGTATAACATTAGGTATTCATAACAGGCAATATTTGATTTAGATTTTTACAATTTAAATTCAGTTAGATGTCCCGAAGTAGTGTAACATCAAGTTATTCCATGTTGAACTAGAACTATATAATCTTGATTTCAACTTAGGTCACAATCTTGATGCACAAAGAAAAGAAAATCATAATTTATTTATATTATTGAACGAGATGTACTAACAACAAATACACAACTTTTTAAAAATAAAATTGATTCAAATATGGTTATCACAAAATGATTATATTATTTGATTCTCAAAAAGACACAGTAACACTAGCAACATAAGACAATTAACCATTAGCATATCATTAAATAACTTGCCATTATACATGTCAAAATGTAAACATAATTCAATATTAAAATTGCCAAGCAGTAATTTGAAATTAAAGCAGACTTTTATTGCCAGTTATTTTAAATCTTTAAATTCATTGTTCTAGTACATTGACTAGTGCAACAATTTGTGTATGATTCAATCACCTCAAAATCTACTATTTGGTATCAATCAACAATTCAAAGCAATAATTTCTGTGCGTTTAAATCCATTAAATTATTGAGACTTCTGTTTCTTTGATTTTGTTTTCTTCTCCACATTCCTAGTACATCTCAACATTCCTTTCTTTTCACAACAAAATATTTCATGATTCTTTTCTAATTTTTTTTTCCATGACACTTTCAAATGCAATACAATGTCTCTCTGTCTGTGTGAATATTTGAGATAAGATGCTCTTGTGGATATATATATAATCCTGTATAGACGTTTCACCTTTGACCTTTAGCTATGTAAGGGTTTAAGATAGAAAAGATTCATATGTGTTAGTAAGGTAAACAGATTTTTATGTTTAAGTTTTGAGGTTAGTGTACATTTAATGTAATTTAAGGTCATGTGGAAAACATTTAGTTCAATGTAGCTATGCATTGTTTAGTAAAACAATGTAAATTTTCTTACTGACATAAAATAAGTTTTTCAATTTCTTTTTGAATTAGATCAATTTCATTCCTTGATTGTTATGTATGCAAATGTGATATTATTAGCTAGAGATGTAAAAACTGGATTATTTACCACTCTTTTGAAATTTGATGATATGTTGACTATATTTGTATATAGTTTATGTTTACAGCTTATATTGTTGAATTGAATTGTTACTTGTAACTTTGAATAATGACTGTTGTTAAACTTTAGACCTTTTGAATCTATTTTGCATGTCATAAGATTTATACCAGATATTTTGATTACATTTAATATAATTTCTTGTTGTCATGTTTTCTCTTGATTGAAAACACAAAGATTATATTTATACTGAAAAGATTTATTTTTTCAAGATGTGATTTCACTTTTACATTTATAGGGCTTCATTTTGTTCTTGTTGCTTCTACCTAACAGCCTTGAACAACTTACCACGTGCCTTTTTTTTTTAATGGTTACGATTGTTCATTATCATGGTGTTAATTATTTAAAGATAATTGTGTTGGAAATTAGTGAATATTCCATAAAAGTAAAACTACCTTTACATTAGTGCATCTATATTACCATGGAGCAAAGATGTGTTCATCTAACAGTTGCCTTGTAGCCCCCAGCCTAGGAACCTAAATATTGTAAATGGAAGCATTGATTCTTAATGAGCCGTTTATGTTGAGGGTTATCATAGCTAATTAAGCTTTTAAAATGTTTTTGTACAAATTAGTTAAATCATTCCAAGATACATAGTTTCAATTTGCAGGCTTTGTGACATGAAGGTAAATAGGATGCTTTACATCAATATGTGTATTATGAAAAAAAATATATTTTTAAAAAAAATATCTCTAAAAAGAGCCAACAGTATTATAAAAGTTATTATATATGAAAGTCCAGAATACATGTTGATCATATGCAGTTATTGAGCTTAATGTTTAAAAAATCTGTCAGCTTAGCAGTGCTTAGCTTACATTACCAACCATAAGTTTTCAAATATTTAATCTGATCTAAAATCAAGAATCTTTTAAAATACTATTATGGTTCTCTGTGTTATAAATTTTATAAATGCTTCTAACTGTTTGTTATATGAGGTATTGTAACTTTTGATGACTGTTTTAGCTACAATTAGAAAAACGGTGTGGGCGAATGGAATAGTAATCTTAAATTTGATTTTATGCCACCCATTTAGGCATGTGTCACATAGTACAGAAAATATCTATTTTAGCGAAATATTTTGTTAGGTTAAGGAAACTGCTAAAATAGTTTTAGAATGGGATTTGATGTATTAATGCTGAAAATTGTGGTATAATGATTTGAATAACTTAGAACACTTATATTATGTACAGTTGGAATTGATGTTTTAGTTCAATGTACTCAGCATTATATCTGTACTGTGCTACAGAATTACAACCAGCATTTCCAAGATGTTTTTAATGTTTCATTACTTATTGTGTGTGTGTTGTGTTGGTGTATTTGTCATAGTGATAGGCTACACCAATTTGCTAAGAGTAGAACTCATAAGAAGCCATCATTAAAGCCGTGATGATGTTGACCATCTAGTCACAGAGAATAACTTTGATATCCAGTAAATGAAGTTAAAGTCTGAACTATTAGTGCATCATTTTTTTTTTTTAGTGTTTTAGCATTCTTTGATGGTAGATTTTGTAAAAATTTGGCCTGTATAGCTCTCTACTAATTTCCTTTGTGACCATTGTTTTCGATTTGTTTACACTTCACTTGGAGTTCCACTGCATTTTTTTTTTTTGGTTTTGAAAAAAAAATTCCATTAAGAGTATTGGTCAGACCACTCTGTGGAACCTTTTCAACATTGAGAAGCGTTTCTCTCAGTAGTCAGGAGTAAATTGGGAGCTCGCCACTTCCTATATAGTCTGAAGGGTCACAATGTAGGGTTTTGTCCAAAAAAAAGGGATACTTAAGTAAATGCTTTTGGTTGTGTTGTAGAAATTTCATGAAAAATTTTTATTGTAATGGTTTGAAATTATTTTTCCTTTATATTTGCTTTTCCCCCCTCTTGCAGTAAACGAGAGTACTTTAGCTGCATAATTGGTTGCCTGATCATCTTTTATGATCCCTATGGCTGTCATCATGATTGTCCAAGGTTCAAACCTTGATTTGCTTATTTGTAGGTTGTAGAATGTAAGGATCTTCTATTCTGAAAGTCTCAAACATGTTGATGTCAAAAGTCAGAGCTACGTATTGTTCTAGCTAAGTATTGTTCTATATGAAGTGAAGCATACCACAGTGCTTTCACACCAACTACAAACACAGGCTTTTATGTTCTGTTTCTGTCATTATGTTCTAATCAATTTGTATAATTGATTTGTGTAGTGTGTATATATTTTATTCTAAAGTCACATTTTATTTGTAGTATGTACATGATCCAAGCTTGTGAAATGCTTACTTAAAAGTGCAGTCTAACCTATTGAATCAGGGTTTGATTTGGAAATGGGATTATAATTTTTTATATTTTGATATAGGCACTATCCAGTCTACTAGGTATTTATTTTAAACAATGCTAAAATGTTTCCAATAGATCACATTTAACCAAATTAAAATAATGGCTCAGCTGAGTGACATACAATTCAGTTTAATTCTGATGTTAAATTGTAGTTTTGGGATCTTTATTCAGGATTTATCTCATTTGGAATAGTGCTTTATGGATTATTAATCGCAACACAAAATCAAATTCTATCCCAGATCCCCCCCCCCCCCACTTCTACCTAAGACTGAGGAGGGAATGTGGGCCAGAGCACACTGAGTATGCACACACCAAAGAGTTCAGTTGATTAGTTTTCCTACTTGGATTTCTAGGTTTTGAAACCTGCACATGAATCAAAAAGTAAAATTGTACATGAAAGATCAGATCAAAATTCATTATTGCTACTCCACCCAGAACAATGCACTTGTGATAATTAGCATGAAAATGTTTCAATATTCTATTAGAACTAGTATATATAGATATAAATTATTTTTTTTTAGAGGGCACGTTAATTAAGTGTCAAAATTAATCCAAGAAAAATAAAGTTTCAGTGTCAATGCAGTGTGTTTTTGCATGTAACATTGAGCTCATTTATTTGTTTGTAGGCATATTTTACTCAGGATGTTTACTGTATAAAGTCATACTGACTAGACATTTTGACAATTACTTTAAATCACTGAATAACTCTGCAAACACAATATATGTTTATTACAATTGATAAAAAAAAACACCTAAAGAATGACATTCACAACTGGCAATATTGATGAAAAGAGGAAATAAACTATTGTGACTGGTTCTAAAGTAATTGATAAGAATTTCTTAGCAGTAAAAATGATCACAAGCATACTACTTAATTTTTTTGTAAACTTAATTCTTTAGATACTTTTGTTAACAGTTATGTAAATTGTTCTATTTAAAGTATGTTATGAAATTGTTTCTCTTTGTCAGAGTGATAGTACTTTACAGTTTGTTTGACATTCTTAGGAAATTAACAGCATTCTTTGTACATATGTTTGTGGTGTATGTGTTTGAATTTATCTTACCTGCTGATGACCAAAACTATTGCCATTCCAATTGGACTTGATCTTGTACCTAACAGTAATTGGTCTTTATCATGATCAAAGTAACATTTCGATAATGGGCAATAAACTCTTCAATGGAATAGCTCTATAAGCTTTTTGTTGTTTTTCAAGTTCTTGTTTTACAGACTACAAATAAATAATAAAAGTTGTGTTGTTGTTTTTTACATGTAAGCTAATGTTCCACACCTGGGTCGGCCTTAGGCATAGGCAAACTAGGCTGCCGCTTAGTGCCTCTAATTAGTGGGGACCTCGCACAGGATTAAAAAAAAATAATTGCGAAACTCGGATCAGATCTCATAGTAGAGCATTGTAGCTGTATGCAGTGGCATAGCATACATGACGCGAATGGGTTATAAATTGCGTTTGGGTTCTGTTATGAACATAACGATAAGAGTCAAAAACCATGTCTGGCTTTAATACACTGAATGACTACACAACACATTTCGTGAACTCATTCTCACGGACGAGTTACAAGCACATGTAAACATAAGAACGATAACCGATACAGAATACAATTTTCATAACAGGTTCATAACCTATCACTTTCTCACTACGCTAGGACCCTATCATTTTCTCACTACGCTAGGACCCTATCACTTTCTCACTACGCTAGGACCCTATCACTTTCTCACTACGCTAGGACCCTATCACTTTCTCATTTCGCTAGGACCCTATCACTTTCTCACTACGCTAGGACCCTATCACTTTCTCACTACGCTAGGACCCTATCACTTTCTCATTTCGCTAGGACCCTATCACTTTCTCATTTCGCTAGGACCCTATCACTTTCTAACTACGGTAGGATCCTATCACTTGTCTGTCCGAGCCAGTTGGAGAAAATGGGGGAGGGGGAAAACAAAGCATATCTGGATGGATTTTACAGGAATCGTTTTTTAAAAGCATTTTCAAAAAAATAAAAAAAGGGGGGGGGGGGGGGGGACTACCAAAATTCAAATAATGGCTCAAGATGACATACTGGCCACTCTGCTAGTGAGGTGCCTATGACTACTTAAGATTTCATAGTTGTGTATTGTTTGCTTCAATTTTACTTTAAAGAGGCGACCTATCAAGGGACTAATTCAGCTTATACCGCCACCTCAGTCAAGTACTATTTCTTTTCCTTGTTTAAAATGCGAAACAAAGTAATTAATTACCAATAGTTAATTAACTAATTAGTAAAAAAATTTTTTATTGATTCTTGTAGTACTACATCAGAAATAAAAAATAATTTTGCAATATTTCAGTTTGATCCGAGATGCTAGGACAAATGTGTACAAACGATCTTTCTTCCCTAGTGTTATTAGAGCATAGAATGGGTTACCTGAGCTAGCCAGGAAAACCAGTGACTTGGCAGAATTTAAGTCATTGGTTAATATGCATGACTAAATGCATGATTCTTAGGACGTAATCATCTTTTTTTTTTTTTGAAGTAACGTCTGTATTATTTAAGATAAGATTGGTTGTGGGAGAAATAACGTGTACAAACTTTTTACCAGACAGAGTGAGTTGATATAAGCTTTGTCAAACTTTTATAGTTACTTGCGCATATGGTTGCGTGTCCTCTTCATACTTCCTGAACGTGTCACATTTTATCAATGAAAAGTTAATCAATCTGAAACAAGTGACATGCGTGGCGAATGCCGCTATAGAATTTTTAGTCACTCCTCAAAAGAGATTCAAACTTTGTATAAGGAGTAACTCCAACATTGTGTGGGTTCCATTGTTCCATTACTATTGTCTTCCAAAAAAATATCCTAATTTCCATCAAGCTTTTGTCAGTAGATTTCGACCTGTTTGTAAAAATTGAAGAGCAAAATAATATATGCACTTAAGCGAATGGCCCGTAACTCCTTTTTTTAAAAAATGAAATTGCTTGTCTAAAGCAACTAGATATCTAAGTTTTTTGGTAGTGTAGTGAGAAAAAAAAGCATGTTGATGTCACTTTATACAAACCACAATAGGACCTTGCAAAGAAAACCTCATCACAAATGATAGGATTGGAAACAGGGCCACAATGGAAATGAGACCCCACGATTACTTGATGACCACTTGAAAAAGATGCGAAGTAAAACGTTTTGGCCATGTTACAAGGTCCTCAGGGCTCATAAAGACCTTCCTTCAGGTAACGGTAGACCTACCAAAGACGAAGAGGTAGAGAAAGCGATCGGAAGACATTAAAGAATGGACGGGCATGTCATGGAAAGAAATTCTATTCAAGAGACGAGAAGAGAAAGACGGTCGACAGGTCATGGGTGGTGCCACAACAGACTCATGGATAGGTCAACGTTTGGGAATCGGGGAATTTACAGTTTTAGTTAGTGATCTGTAGGCAAAAACTGTGACTATCATTCATCTTGTTTAATTACATTTACGGACTTTTTTCTCTTATTTCCGACTCATTATAAGTGAGTAAATAAGTGGGTTACACTCTTATCACACTCTACACCACAGATTTTGGTAACAAAACAAGTTTAAGATTGCTACTTTCAACCAATACCTACTAAAAGAAGAAAGTACACTTTATGTGTGCCATTTACATTAGAAACTTGAAGTTTGAGTGTGCATACTGTATGACATTACTATATATACACCATATTTTACAAATAGAAAAAAAAGGCCCCTTTGAGATCTTTCTGTCTATTTGGCAGAATATCATGTTTCCGTGGCCCACAGTTAACGAGGGTGTCATGGGGCCAGCACAATGACTTATCCTTAACTAATGTCAGGTACCAATAATGATCGTACAAGTAATAGTGTCCTTACACTTGTAACGACTTATTCCAAGTAGCTTCATGACGACTCAATGCCTATACGTCTTCTGAAGAGTAAATAAACGAGGTACTATCTTTCGATTGCCCTTAGTCATGGGCCTGGATGCAATCAGGTCCTTTGCGTCATCAATTATTTTTTTATATTTTTTTTTTAGGATACCTCAGTTTTGATTGTGACATCAGTTGTCGAGCTGTTTACATCCTTGGAATCCTTGGGCTGTTGCCTCTACTTTCTTATCCTCTTTTTTTTTAATTCTCTGCTTCTTTTTTGGGCTTACACTTTTGTTTACGTGTCTGTTACTAGTATGTGAAGGGCCTCCTACTATATGGCCTCCTTCAGCCGCGAAGCGACTATGGATCATCTCATGCAAATGAGAATGCCTGGGCATAAGTTGTGGTCGAATGTCGCCCACACATCAGTTCCTCCCCCCCCCCTAACACACACACTCCACGCAGCTGATGTATCCAAAGGAACGTCTCCTATATACTTATTAATGATATGTACAATTTATAGCAATTCTAACTTCTAACTTAATTTCTAACTTAATTTAAAAGAAAAAGCAAGTGGCAAAGAGAGTTTTCAAGTAATTATGCTCCCCATAATATAAAATATAGAAAACTAAATCCAGCACATATGTCCTCATCCTTTTTCATGATACTGCAGAAAGGTTATATTATTCCTAACGCTGTAAGGTTGTAGAGTTTATGCCTCTGTAATCTAGGAATCTATTGTTCCCACAATCCCCTCTTATCCTACTTTCCAAGACGGGCTGTTTATAATCAAGATAATTTTTTTATATGATAATATTTAGGCCAATGCATCAAGGTTGTTGGCACTCTGGCTACAGCTGATCTTTTTTTTTTCTTGAGTGAACCTTTAGCACAAAGTCCGATAATACACACGCACACACACACAGTCAAGACATATGCGTTAACACACAAGTTGCTGCTAATCTAAGTTGAAAGTGTTTCTTAGCGTTTGGAGTTTTCATTGGAGAACACAAGGTCAGCTCTTTACACCTCTTTCTATTTTAATTTCTTACATTGAGTGAAAGTATTTCACAATAAATGCAATGAATGATTAGCAGTTGTTCAAGCTCTCTGTAAATCATTAATACATTTCGTGTGGCAGGGTAGCAAAATCCATTAAACTGCCTGTCAATGGGGCACGACTTATATTCATTATTAAGATTTAAAAAAAAATAGACACTAACATAACCAGATAAAGAAATTTAAAACGAAGTTTAAGCAATTGAATTCAACATTTATTTAAGCGAGACAACAATGAAACAGTAGTTGCGGTGATCGTGTTACATCTTAAAAATAGGACTCATCAACTTTACCAATAGCCTCGTTTCGGATCAAGGTTAAGGAACATTATTTTTCTTTTAGAAAACAGATCTATTATACTATTATAGCCTCTTGCACTGCCAGGGAAATAAATACTAATATTTAGAAAGCAAAATACTTTATTCTGTTTACTTTGCATTGTAAAAATAAAGTCTGGAATTGTAAATTGAAAAAAAAAATAATTGGGTCATTTTTAAAGCAACAAGTAAAATGTTTAGATAAAATATGCAGGGTTAATGATATGAGATACTAGGCCTCTATGTCTATACTTTACTTCTTTAAATATATACAGATGATAGATCTAGATTTATACCGATTAACGAAAACTTGTGAGAATAGGAAATGAACAAAAATAAAAACAATATCTTAGAGATATGTTTCAGTGAATTAATTTGGCATCAAAACACGTTAAAACATTTAACAATCTTGCATTAAAATATGTACTATTTAATTATTCCAACCTTTTCTCGAATGTTGTCATGAGACATTGTCTTGTTCTACTGCACTATGTTGTCATGAGACATTGTCTTGTTCTACTGCACTATGTTGTCAATGAGACATTGTCTTGTTCTACTGCACTATGTTGTCATGAGACATTGTCTTGTTCTACTGCACTATGTTGTCATGAGACAGTGTCTTGTTCTACTGCACTATCTTGTCATGAGACATTGTCTTGTTCTACTGCACTATGTTGTCATGAGACAGTGTCTTGTCCTACTGCAGTATGCTGTCCGCCATATTCATTGACTTTTAAGCTTCATGCGTTTCTAAAGAAATTAAAGATAATTTTCGTCAAACCGTAAACCTCATGCAGGAGGTCAAAGGTTGGCCACGGTCAGGGCTGGAGCCCGGGAACATCGTAACAAAAGTTCGGAGTCTAAAAACATAGTGATTTGGTAGAAACCATTCTATGACCAACTACTATTTTCACATCATTTTGAGCTCAATTTACAAATTTGGCAAAA